GAGTGCAGTGGTGTCATCATACCTCACTGTAATCTCAAATTCCTGGGCTCAGGTGATCTTCCTGCTTCAGCCTCCTGAGTAGCTGGGATTACAGGTGCACGCCACCACGCCTGGCTAATCTGTCTATTTTTTGTAGAGACAGGCGTTTCACCACGATGCTCAGGCTGGTCTCAAACTGCTGACCTTAATTGATCCTCCTACCCTGGCCTCCCAAAGTGCTAGGATTATAGGCATGAGCTGCTGTGCCCAGCCAATGTTTTAGGTTGTTAAGCCACCAAGAACTGATTTTTCTGTATGGTGTGAGGTAGGGTTCAACTTTTTCACCCCTTCTGGATAACCAGTTCCCCAGCAGGTTATATTTTTACTACATAATAGTTTTAGTTTGATCTCTCTGCTTTCTGAAGTCTCTTGCTCTGTGAAACACTCAGTATCAAGATTCTACAATAATGAAGCACAAAGTATCAACCCCACAGTTTTATTTGTAAAGAACAAAGCATGAAAAGTCTTATTTAAATGTACTCCAAAACCTGAAAAACCCAAGTCAGTTTGTCTGATATGTATGTTAAAGTGCTTCATATCACAATACTTTTTAAATTTTATATTGTGTTCAGATGAGAAAAAAATCCAGTTCTGATGCATTTTGTTAACAATACAAAGAAAAACAATATAATTTAAATGCAGAAATGCTAACTTTTAAAAATGATACACAACACACATTTATACATGGTTCAAGTGTAACACAGGATTTTTTCTATGTTTCACACCCTCATTTGATTGACAACAGAAACTACTTACTATACCTCTCTACTGTCAACAAGATCTGGTGTTCAGAATAAGGACTGGATCCACACAAGTACATTCAAGTATTTGGACCAGGCATGATTCTCTCCTACATAACCCAAGGATACCCTGGATCCCTTCAAATGGGGAGAAATTTTAGTTGCTGAATTTTTTTTTTCACTGTAGCTTAATGTGATACCTTTTTGAAGCCAATCTTTATCTTGTCCTTGAGAGGGCGATCAGCTCTAATAAGATTTTGGAGAATGAGGTTCTTCTTTGATTCTTTTGATCATACTACATTAGTAACCTCTCCAAAAAGCTTGGAATTCAGCTGATTCAAGAGATTTATAACAGGAAAAAGGGAACTAGTATTTTATTGTTCTTTTCTGTCTCCTATTTATGCTAAATGGTACTGTAATAAATATTTATATAAGAAACAGAGACTCCAAGAGATGTAGATGACTTGGAAATAGGATTCACTTTAAAAAAGTGGAGAAGGGCTCAAGACTCTCAATCAGTGAAGATGTGTTAATACTGAAATATAAATAGCTAAAGTTCAGGCTGTCCTCTCAACATAGTGAAAAGGATAACCAGTTTCTGTAAACATCACAGAAAATACTCACAGTTCCTAAACGAAAAATCTATTGAAAAATCATAATTCTTAGCAGAAAGAAGGTATTTCACTATGAATAGCTACACTCCCAATGCTGTCAAAGAAATATTTTCCTGGGGATCTGAGGTCCTCGTCTGTTGCCTTATGTTTCAAAATATCTTAGAGCTGTCAACATATACTACACCTAGCTGTTATGTACAGCCTTTTCTTTTTTAAATTAAGAAAAGTTTCATCAGATATGCCACACTGGAAATGTTACGTATAGTCTTAACCTTTCTTTTTCACTTAATTTACATACAACAGTGCTTTATTGCCAAAAAAGAAAATAAGAGCAATTCAGTATTTCCCTTATATCATCATTAATATAGTGTGACAAAAGTTCATGAAAATGATTTTTTCTTAAACAGCCATGTTAAAGTAATTAACACAGGGTTAAAAAAAGGTAGAAAAATGTGTGAAACATTTAAAATAAATTTTAGAGGGAAATCCAAACTTTTCCAAGTTTCAGGTTTCCTATATCAAATTCTCATTCCCAGTGGGAAGTAGGGTGGGGAGTATTTATTTTTGTGCTCCATAGCAGCCTTTTCCCACCTGGAACTTCATTTTACTACTTCACACTGAGTCTCATTTTTAAGGCGCTAATGACTCCTGACCAGGGCACAGACCTCGCACGTGATACCAATATGGGTATAATGCCACCGTGTTCACAAAGGTTGAGATTAGGGATTTCAGGACATATGAAAAACACTTGGGGCCAGGCACAGTGGCTCACTCACGCCTATAATCCTAGCACTTTGTGAGGTTAAGGGGGGAGGATTGCTGGAGGCTAGGAGTTCAAGACCAGCCTGGGCAACATAGTGAGACCCCATCTCTACAAAAAATAGAAAAATTAGCCAGGCGTGATGGCATGTGCCTATAGTCCCAGCTACTTGGGAGGCTGAGGCAGGAGGATCGCTGGAGCCCAGGAGTTTAAAGTTGCAGTGAGCTGTGATGATGCCACTGCCCTCTAGCCCATGCAACAGAATGAAACCTTGTCTCAAGAAAAAAAGTAATATTTTTGGCAATATAATTTTAAAACAATTTTTTTCTCAAGCTATTATTAAGTGAAAATACTAAGCATGGTCCCAGGCATTTAGTTTTAAGTGATTTGGAGTAAAAGAAATAAAAATTTTGATTTTTATTTACTTCAACTTTGAGGTGTGATTCTAAGGCAATATATTAATCTTAAAAATTATCACAGCAGAAAGGATACTTCTATATGAGTATGGTCCTTCTAAAAGGTTAAAAGGCTACATATGTTTATTCTATGCATTCTGCTACTGTTGTGTTCACAATATTTTGGTATTGACTCAGAGACAATTAAAAGCCACATAAGAACTAAGCCTTATTTCTTTATAATAGATAGCACTTCTTATGTGACCTTAAACTCAGCCTTAAGCATCCTTTTTATTCATTAAATTTGGATCCTAAGGAATGTTGCTTCCAAATATTAAATATATTCTGAAAGGCCAAGATTTACCACCATTGGGAATATTTAGAAGAATGGGGTGTAGGCCGCCCAAGCAGCTCACAAGGAGGGCCCCAGGGGTTCAGAGCATGGTGGCACCACTGGGCCTAGCATCCAAGAGGATGTGTCAGTTCTGAGGTGTCTTTTTTTTCATCAGTCATTTCACTGTTATAGTCATACTACACAAAGTATGAAGATGATACTTCAGCTATTTTTTTTTATTACTTTTTAAAGAAATGGTTTTATTCACAGGCCTCAAATCCAACTTTGCTCCCAGTTTTTACAACAGATGTAATTCCCAATAACTTGAGAGCAATGTGTTAAAATGAATATTAATCCTTATTTCCTGCCTGTGTAGACGGGTGAATAAAGATCCAACCGTAGAAAGAATGCCTAGAAGGTCAGTCTCACGCAGCCTGGTATAATAAAAACACCCATGAATTCTAGACCCTTTGTTGTCAATGACCAGCTGTGGGGTAAGGGTTAAGAATTTAATCTCCTTGATCCTTACAGGTTCCCATCTATAAAGTGAGAAGACTGGACTGGATGATGCAACTCTAGCATACTAACCTAAGTGGTCTCTCTGGTTGCCCATGTCAGAAGCATGATCTTATGAAAAAGATAATAAGAACAAAGAACAAAATCCTGGGCTGAACCACTCTATAGTTTGTGGTAGGGGCCCCGTGTGAAAAGGTTCTGGCTATCTGCCATGATAGACTGCCAATGTCGCTGGAATAGCCACACCACTGTAGACATACTTTAGCTTTAGGCAAACAAATCTCTGGTCTACCCAGAGCACCCAGAACCATCTTTTCAAACCATTTCTATGGGTTTCTAAATGCAGCCATCAGCTTTCCTTTTCCTCAAGTACGAAGTCACATGTTAAAAGGGGCTGCTTCTTGGCTGAATACAGTGTTTGATAAAGGGAGTGAGGCACTTGTTTCATTAGTTTCTTCCTCCAGGAAATAAGGGAAACAACACTGTTGGCTAAAGCCCAGGACCCTCAGACTGCACAAGGATTCTGAGAGGCCATAGCTTCGCTTCTCAGCCACAACTGAGAAAAAAACCTGGAGCTCTGCTGAGGCAATTTTGCTGCTAACAATGTGCAAATGCTTAATTAGAGTTATAGGACCTGGCAGAAGATGAAGACTTAAGGTAACTAGTTAACACTACATTTACTTAACTTCTTTATAAAATAGTGAACTGGAAAGTTACTCACAACTTTTGGTCTTTCAAAATGGTTGCCTCTTGCTTTGTTTCCATTTTGTCGGTCTGTGCTACAGTGGCTTTTAACTTTTTTTTTTTTGAGACAGAGTCTCACTGTGTTGCCTGGGCTAGAGTGCCGTGGCGTCAGCCTAGCTCACAGCAACCTCAAACTCCTGGGCTCAAGCAATCCTTCTGCCTCAGCCTCCCAAGTAGCTGGGACTACAGGCATATGCCACCATGCCCGGCTAATTTTTTCTATGTACTTTTAGTTGTCTGATTAATTTCTTTCTATTTTTAGTAGAGACGGGGGTCTCGCTCTTGCTCAGGCTGGTTTCGAACTCCTGATCTCAAACAATTCGCCCGCCTTGGCCTCCCAGAGGGCTTTTAACTTCTCTGGGTCATTTGTTTTACATTATTACCCCTTCTTACAAAGGAACATAAAGCTTGCTCTGAAACGCCCAGAAAGGGTTCATTCTTTCTCTTTCCTTCTGTTATTTGCATTATCATGGTCAACAAATACTTTCACAAAAACATTCCAAGCCACCCAGAGCCCTCCTGCTCCTCAGACATTCCTTCCATTTCTTGAGGGGGGATGGGCATGGATGGGGGGACTGGAACCTCACAAAGACAGGCCTCCTGGTTATCATGAAGAGGTAGAGGCCACTGCAGAGTTTAGATGGCCAAATTAAAAATACGGAATCAAATTATTGTTTGCAGTTCTTATGACTATGAGTCTAACACTTTGACATTCACATTTCCCCGAAGTACCTCAAATAACAAAAATAAAAATGCCAAGAATGAAGTTAGTCTAGGCTAATCTTTCCAAAGTGTAAAGAAGTTATAATCCCACAATTTAACACACTTCTCAGGGCTTTCTGTGTTCTCTTTCTAGTTCAGCCAAGCTCCTGGGGTCTAGTATTTAAAATACTTGAATTATATCTTCATCTTGTGCCGACTGAAAAATTTTTCCAAAAGACTGGAAAAGTGACTCACAATTCAAATGTATAAAACAGCTTGTAACTTAAAAGATACTAGTGAGGACTATCCATACAGTAGGTAAAACTGTATACATTCATGATACAAAGGATCAGACACCAGGATGGATGGCTACACATAACAATGCATTCTGGGTTCCCTTGTGACACCTGGAGGGAAAAAAATGGCCCGACTGGGTTGTACTGTATTTACATGTTTACTGGCTTCTTCCTGACTAGCACCACTCTTCCCCCACAACCCCAACATTTTTAAGCTACTTATTTTAAGTCACAGGAATATTCAATCTAAGAAAAGCATCTTATTAGAGTAATATAATTTCTTAAAGAAGATAGCATATTTACAGACATCTAACACATGAAAATACTCTATTTTATACTAAATTCTGGTTCAAATGAACTACAATACAACATTTTGCCTTGTCTGTAGAGTGAGGATTCTTCAAATTGGGGCATAAAGTGGGCTGCCCCCCCATAGTGATTCTCTACTGTCAGACAAGCCCAAATCGGTTCCATAGTTGGGGAAGGATCAGGAGCAAGGTTTGGACTGAGAGTTTCTAGCCAGTTGGGTTACACATCCACTCCTTTGATGAGTGATCCTTCTAAGACTATGGTGAAATCCTGAATGGTCTGCAGAATCCGGATGAGGGAGTTGACGGTCATGCGGTCTCGCAGGAGGGCGCTCTCCTCATACATTCGAGTAATGGCAGGACACTCGGCTAGCAACGGGATCCACTGTGGGAGCAGGCGGTCCCTACAGACCAAACAGAAACAAGTCCTGAGCACTGCTGGTCTCTCTTGCAGAACAGTGCACCCAGTGCTGTGTTCACCTGGGAAGGTATGGGGCTGGGTGGCACAAAATGTGGCTATGAGGTCAGGAGAGAAGAAATCAAAGCCAAGAAGTTGGATATTTACTGGTGAAAAGACAGCAATGAGACAGTGTAAAGTTAATGAGAAAACCCATTACATTCTAAAAGTATATTAGAAAATCTATACACATTAAAGGCATTCTCTATTCTGATTTTAGCACCTTTAAAAAGAGCAGAATGTTATTTTCTAGTCTTTTTTTTACAGGAGCATTATTCTATGGCAAGGCATGCCAGAGTATACTGACCTTTTAGAAGAAGGACTACATTAAATAGTAGAGATTTGCATTTTTTTTTTTTTTACTTATACAACATAGTATTTTTCGCTTTGATTTTGTTCCTTACCTTATTATGTAGATTGTATAAACCAGAAGAAGGTTTGCAGTGGTCTAATAAATCAGAACAGTATAGAGATAAAAGGAGATAAAGATCATGCTCAAAAGGAACTTCAAAAGCACAGCTAAAATTGGGCCCCTTTTATTAAGAAGAAATGCAGAACTCAGTTCTGTAAACCAGCTGTTTCAGGATGACAAAATCTCACATCTTCAGTGTTTCCTGATCAAACCCTGACATTAGAAATCTATTGCTGAGTACCTAAGACATCCTTATCGAGCATTCCCAACCAGGCCATCCTGAATCTCAGTTTGGGGATCTCAAGGTTTAGGAAAAAACAAATAGTAAATGGATAACTAAAAACAAACAAAAAAAAACTCTAAATGTCCGTGCGTTTCATTTCCTACAATGCTGAGAGCTGTTTTAACATTAATGGACTTGGCCGGGCGCAGTGGCTCACTTCTGTAATCCTAGTACTCTGGGAGGCCGAGGTGGGTGGATCGCTCAAGCTCAGGAGTTCGAGACCAGCCTGAGCAAGAGCAAGACCCCGTCTCTACTAAAAAATAGAAAGAAATGATCTGGACAACTAAAAAAAAAAAATATATATATATATATACACACACATAACTGGCCAGGCATGGTGGCGCATGCCTGTAGTCCCAGCTACTTGGGAGGCTGAGGCAGGAGGATCACTTGAGCCCAGGAGTTTGAGGTTGCTGTGAGCTAGGCTGACGCCACGGCTCTCTAGCCCCAGCAACAGAGCAAGACTCTGTCTCAAAAAAAAAAACCAAATAAAAAAATAAAAAAAATAAAATTAATGGACTTCATAGCTCCTATGTATCTTTTTTTAAAAACAAAGGGGTAGGAAATAGTCTTAAATAGAAGGTGACATTTATATAGCAAGAATCTATTAATTGTTATTAAATTTAAAGCAATATGGTGGTATGTATACACTATACAAGGTCTACATAGTAAATACATACACGTGCATATATTGGTGTGCCTAATTATCTACCAACCTTCCTATTACCTATCTATCTACCTTTGGAGCCAGTACAGAGTAATAATTGAGAGCTGGGCTCTGGAGTGGGACTGGGTATGACCTTGGGAAAGTTTGCTAAATTATCTTATCTCATCTATTTTCTCATCTATAAAATGGGGAAAGCAATTGCTACCCCATGTAGTGGTGGTGGTGAAGTGATAGGAAGATTAAATGAGATAATACGGGTAAAATACTTAGAAAACTGCCCAACACATAATAAGCTCCCCAAAAGCAGTAGTCTTATAATAAAACCTGGAATGACAGAAACCCAAGGGAGAGCTTTGCAAGGGGTGTAATCTGGTATAACCTCTTTTGGACTCTCCTGTTCAACATATAACAAAGATAGAGAAAGTGAGAAACTGGCTTTGTACCGTGTTCCGAGGCAAACTAAAATCTGGAATTTGCCATCCTTCCCAATATTCCTGGGTGCAGTATTAATAGCATTTACATAGTGGCAGAAGGTTTTGCAGGATGATTTCTGAATAAGGACATCATCTTCATTGTCTAGAATCTGGTCAGTTGTTTCAAAATAAGCAACTGCTCTCTCTGGGGAAGGAAGCCAGAATCACATCACAATACATGTCAACACTTCATATATAAAAAGATTCATCATTTAATTTATTCTGGAAACATTAATGATGCTTTGCATTATAGCCAGTCCCGAAGCCAAAATCATTAGTTTATCATTGATTTCAGAATGAATTCCAGACTCCATGTTTCATGGTAGACCAATATGCTCTCAGTAATTTATTTTCTAATTTAGACTGCATTCCAGAAGGCTGAAAAGTTTATTCTCTTTAAAATACATTCATGAAATGGAAATTGACAAAAAAGAAAAGAAAAATAGAATTTTCTATTAAAACTGGAAACTTCTAGAAGTAACTAGCAATGATATGTTAGCCACTGAGATGGCACCCTATGTTCTAGTTATATTAATAGAATGGCTGGCTAACACTTTGCAACACTTGAATAAGTAAACCTGAGGAATAGAGTTGTACGTATACACATAACAGAGGCAGGAGCAGTAAGATTCTAGGTATTCCAGAAGAAAAAAAAAAATCAGTCCTGGGGGCCTAGCTCTGTCAACTTTCCTTTCTCTGCCTAAAAATTCGGAGTTAGACAAAATCAACTACTTCATCTAGGTCTTATTTACAAAATACAAAATGATTAATTGCCTTTTTAAAGAAACTGGGAATTCTAGAAGAGCTGCATACCAAAATAAAGATTAAAAGCTTAGCAGGCTAGAGAAGCACATTCAAATAGAGCTTTCTGTGATGATGGAAAGGTTCTCTAGCTACAAGGTCCAATTTGGTAGCCACTAGCCACAGGCAGTACTGAACACTTGAAATGTGGCCACTGTGACTAAGGAAGTGAATTCTAAATTTGATTTAAATTAAATAAATTTAACTTTAAATAGCCATGTGTGGCTAGCGGTTAATAAATTGAACAACACAGAGCTAGAGAAATCTTTTAAAAAATAAATTATATCATATTATTTCTCAGGCTCAATGGCTTCGTAATTTCATTCAGGATAAAGGTCAAAGACCTTTCAATGACCTAGAAGGTCCTACACAACATTGTCCTGGCACTAGACCACCCCTTCTCTCAATCTCCTATTTTCTCTCTCCCTCCCTCTAATCCAGTCACACCGGTCTCTTGTGGTTCCATGAAGAGGCCAGGCATGCTTCCACCTTGGGGCCTTGGCGCTGGCAGCTCTCTCAGACTGGAGTGCCCTTCTCCCAGATATCCACATGGCTCACTTCCTTACCTCCTTAAGGTCAGTACTTGAATGTCACCTTGACATTCAGTGGAGCCTAAAACCACCCCACTTAAGAGCACTCACTCCCCACTCCATTTCTTTTTACACTGCTCTATTTTTTTCCAGATCAATGATCACGTTTCTAACATATATATCATATGAATTACATATTTATTATACTTTTGCGTTTTTTTGTTCCCCTACCCGCACCAGAAAATAGGTTTGTCAACCACAGGGATTTGTTTTGTTTACTGATCTTGAGCATCTAGAATACTGTTTGGAATATTGTACGCATTATAAATATTTGCTGAACAAATGAAAAATAAAGATAGTGCTCATTTGATATATATTTTTTAATATTTGTTTTATCTTTTTGAGACAGAGTCTTGCTCTGTTGCCCAGGCTAGAGTGCAGTGGTGTCATCATAGCTCACAGCAACCTCAAACTCCTGGGTTCGAGCTATTCTCCTGTCTCAGTCTCCCAAGTAGCTGCGACTACAGGCACAAGCCACCATGCTCTGCAAATTTTTCTGTTTTTTGTAGTGACAGGATCTTGCTATACTTTAGCTCAGGCTGGTCTTGAACTCCTGGCCTCAAAGTGATCCTCCTGCCTCGGCCTCTCAAAGTGTTAGGATTATAGGCATGAGCCACCGCACCTGGTCTGATATTTATTTTTAAAAACAGATCCCTTATCATTAACCTTTACTCACTCAAATTCCTGGGTCTTTGAATTTTCTAAGAAACATTTCAATGACTGTATAATAACACACATCTGCTTTATTTACCTATGAAGTCCCAGATGAAGACATTCTTGTGAAAGATGCGGGCGGATCTGAATCCATGATGGAAAACTTGCTCAAGTGCTGCAACCAGGCCATTTTCTCCACAGAGCAGCACTGTGAGGCTCCCTCTCTGTGGAGCATAATACACAGGGACAATGAAAAATCTGCAGCATCTATGTCTAAGAAAAACACTAGAGAAGCACGTGCTGAAGGGAGCTATATGAAGATGTTTTTACAGCCATTAGGAAACAGCTCACAAATGAAAATTAAAGCACCTCATATTGCCTCGTGTATTACATATAAAAGCATCTTTAAAAATTCAGTTTTATAGTCCGTAATACCTCTTTTTCAGGTTTGTGAAAATGTTTCACAATATTGTTCACAGCTTCTCCAATTCCTTCCTGGATCTGCCCAGCGTTGGGTTCTGTAAAATAATGAAGAGTGGCCGCATTCTCACATGAGAGAAATAAACCAATGTACTCAACTGTGTCCACTGAGGCAGAAAACACATCACCAGAGCAGGCTGGCTTTGCCAGGAGCTTCATGAAACTTGCCTCTGGCCAGTTTAGTCAAGTGGGAGGCATCTTGGCACAATGGAAAAGAATCCAAGAGAGCCCTAGATTCACATCCCAGCATTACCACTTGCAATCTATAACTCTAGCCAATGTATAACTTCCTCTGCGTTTGAGTTTCCTCAACTGAAAATAGGGAAAATGCACACCTCACTGGGAAAACTGAATGAGATATAGGTGTCAATCACCTGGCATGGTGCCTGTCACAAAGTGCTAGCAAGACCCAGATATGAGAGGTTGGGGAGAGGCCCAACATCACTCCTTAGATGTTCCCTTATGCTACCTACCCTCAAGCCTCTTAGTGGCCACAGAACAAGGCTTGAGAAGCTGTGACTAGCTAACCTGGGGTCTGACGTTTTGCTGTTGTGCTGTTGTGTTTAAAATGAGGGGAAGATGCCAGGTACTCTGTGGCACCCCAGCCTGAAGCCCAGAACTCCCTCTCTTCCTGGCTAGTCAGTCTGTCTCAGCACTGCTTCCTTCTTCTAGCCAGCACTTGCTAATCTAGGCTACTATCCTGAGGGACAGGATGCTGAGCTGCTTGAATGTGACCTAAACCACTTTTGCTCACCAAATCCCAAGAATGATCCAAGAATAAATAAAAAAAAAAAA